TGAGTCAGCAGTCGTACAGTCAATATCCGCAGCAGATCATACCTTGTCACCAACAACGCCCGCGGGTAAGCAATGCACCAAACGAACTCAATACAAACAGATGGCAAACTAGGCAAATGTTGCAGTCTTACACAGTGCAATCGAATCCGAATCCCAAATTAGGCACATTCTTCAAGCCTGATTTAGAAACAGCAATGCCCTGTTGTAGAGCGTTTGTCATCTCTCCCTCCTTTCTGCCCCGAATGAAATGTCCACATACAAATCTTCACTGTCATCCGTGATTTGTTTTATTCCAAGGCACATGGAGGCTGAGTTTCCCTATGTTTGAGTCAGGCCGTTAGTCTTTTACTGGGAATTGTAGACGCTTGTTTTTCTGGCGGTCTTTCTCTGTCTCTATTTACCATTAAATAATTGTGATTGAGCAGTTGAAGGCTAAACATGGTTGGGAATTCGAACAACTGATAATGAGCAGCTAACGCAGTTAGGGCTGCACAACAACCACAAGCACACGTAAACCAATCAAAAAGGAAAGAAACACCTAGATAGTAATCAAAATAATTGGTTCAGTAGAATGCTGGATGATGATTAGAAATCAAATGTAGTTTTAACCACTCTCGAACCAAAAAACTATATGTGAAGAAGGACCGATGTCTAGAGTTTGTCTTGTATTCCACAGAAAGATCAACGCGTTTCTTTTGCGGTCAGAATGTGAGAACCCATTCCAGGTTCTGATATTGTCCTGCAAACTGCCCATCAGTCTAGCAAGTTCACTTGCATCCTCTTGGGGTGCCCTTGATGGCTTCGCATGCGATTCTTCTGGGAAATTTTGCTGCATATTACAAAGTTCTTCCTCATGACGACCTTATGGTTTTTCCATATAATCGGTCTGTTGCCAAATCTACCATATCAGAACTATCTTAAGTCTACTCAGCCCCCGCTGAGCATAGATTAGGACTAGAAGTAAGATGCTTAGACAGACCCTGTGACACAAACTACTGAGAGAACTTTTCCCATGGTCCCTCAAGTAAAATTTTACAACAGGTCTTTACGAAGGAAATCGTAAATTTATATGCAGACCGTTTTTCGTGCCTCTGGACAAAATAAAACGCCATTATAGAATGCTGCTGCCGGGGGTAGAGTAACACGTTTTTATGACACTGTTCACAACCCGTCTCGATCTCAGCCGCTGAGACGGGAAGAGCTTTCCTCCGTCGAACAGGCTCTTGAAAGAAAAACTGAGAGTAGTGGTTTGGTCGACGCATCTTCAACTGCCAATTATGCAGTGAATCGAGAACTTGCAGACCTTCCTTCCCTGACACACGCGCGGCTCCTAGGAATTACGTGGTCACGGCTTTCGAACGGATGCAACATGCCATCATTCATGCTCTAGGGCAATCAGTCACACACGCCCACACCGTTCGCTATCAAGCACTAAAGTGTCACTGACTGGCTCTCGCCTGATTCTTTATCATTCACGCTAGCATCGCCCTTGCAGAGAAACGTGTGTCCAGGGCCCTGGTCGTCCTAAGGCGTCTGTGCAGAATCCAAACCTCCTCCATCGTCTTGCGTCTTTCCTTAATCGTGGCGTGGCGTGTGTATTTTAGTAGTTACGTGTGCTATGCCAGCATCAGCAAACCATGGACCTCACAGCCCGGTATGCGCTGGCAGTTCCTGACACCTGGTTCCCTGCCGTAGATGCGTTCGCGCCCCCGCTGGGTGTACAGGTGGTTGGCATGGCTGCCCAGTCATCCTCGTCCTTCTGACCCCTGTTGGGGTGTTGTTGTTGTTGGTGAAACATCCTGGTCAGGTGTATGTTGTGGACCAGGGGGCGTGGTGGTAGTACGCCTAGGTGCGGGTCTAGCCGTGCCAGCCGCCTGCGCATTCCCCCGCCTCCGGTCTTCTTGACTCCGTCCTGACACCGGGTCCTGGTGGGGGAAGAGGAGAGAATGCGGTAGATGCTACGCAAGTCACTATAAACTAATTCACGCGCAAGTCACCCTGTTTGCTTCGCTTCTTAGTGGAGCACACGGTGGACATCGTCGACAACGACGGCCGAACTGTCGGACTGTCGTATGTTACACCCGCCATTCTAGCCACTGCAGACGCGACCTCAGCACAAGCATCTCTCGGCTAGAGTTAGCTCCTCCTCCTTCCTTGCCTAAAAATGAGTAAAATGTTTAAAGATCAGCACCTGCAGTGGGCAGGCAGGTGACTTTATTTCGTGTAGCAGTTCGTGTCAGGTGTCCGAACTCATTCTACGTTTTCAAGAAGGCCAGAGGAATAAGTAACCCCCGTATTACATGTAGCCTTGTGCCAAACTCCAGTGGGTTAGGATTAAGATTGGTGTAAATGTTAGGGCTAAGTTTAGGGGTTGGACAGTTAGTGTTAGGGTTAGGCGAGTTACTTTTAAGGTTGGCATTAAGGTTAGGACATAGGAAACGGCACCTCCCTGGAATTTGGCTCAAGGCCATTTGTAGTAAGGGTGGAAACTTACTCTCGTGTTCAAGCGTATATTCATTTGGTTCTTAATACAAAAATCATCTGCTCGATTGAGCGGTACCAAACGTTGGCAGTTCGATCGTCGCAAGCGACGACGTCCCCTGCTGTCCCGAGATGCATCCCCTACGGTGATGACTTGTGTGAGAATTTGTTTATAGTGGAGCGGACTTGTGCTGCGTCTACTGCACTCTGTCATCCTTCACCTACAGCGTCCCAAAAGTAACATACATTCTCCACGCCGTGTGCTGGCATCTATCCCCGTGTTCTTTTATTCATGGATTGTATGGTATTACTCATTTCATCTTTTTGAGAATGTCGACGTCGTTTTGGGCCCAGGTAAGCATCAAAGGAGCTCCGTCTAAGAAACACTCAGAGAGTTCCATTTTGGTTTGCGGTGCATTGGTCCAATTTCTTCATTTTACTCTAAAATGTTGTAATTTATACGTCTCCCCTACCTGTCTAGGAACTTTCTATTAAAAAGGTGCTGTGCAGCGCTTGCGTTAGTGGTAAGTCTTTTTTCAACACAAAATGGTAAGTTGTATCAAAGAAATACTGGCAATTTGGGGCATTTGTCACATCCAACAATCTTCATCAAAACTCAGCTAAATTCTTGGGGTCTCGTCGCATCTTTATTTCACTCCGCACTTCTTCTGGTGGCCAGTTGTCACGTTCTTTGACTGAATTTCAGACGAAGTCATAGTCATCAAAACAGCGATGTTTCATCATTTGCCAAAGAACTAGTTGTTCTGTAGAGCAAAGTTGTCGTTTGTTTTCTCCATTTCATAAATCACATGCGTACTGTATCCCTCATCGTATTATTTTTACTGGACTTTGTACAAGTACGCTACCTTTTTAACCTGAGTCATCAAACTTTTCATGTTATCAAAGCCGTATTTTGATATTTTAGGTGTTTGCTGTCTGATACTAATACGGTGAAACTCACAATCGAAATCCTTTTTAACTTTCGTTACACTTTAGAAGTCACCGTATTTCAACGATAGGCTTATCAAAAGTATACGAAGTCAGAGTCCCTTTTAAGTGGCAAATTAGACACGTCGCAAACAAGTTTTGCCAAGTGTGATTTTGAAAAGGTTTTCGAATCTGAGTCGTGTTGTGCCTTAGTAAAAACTTGTAAGTATTGTTTCGGTTGCGAAAAGTTGACATCAGTTAATGTCTTCGACTCTGCCGCCAAGAAAGCCTGCGCGGTGACCTTGTTTTCTGAATTCATGCTTTGACATTTGCAGGTCCAAGGTGGGCATAGCGTTGTCCGTACTGTGAGATCCCACTTCGAAATCCGTATGCAACTTCCTTTACAGGAGTATAGTGCTGGCTGTAGTACGAAGTGACAATGTCATCATCGAATGGGCACTTATTTAAAGCTACCCCAGATAAATTGCGGCGACGAATATGAAAAACCAGCGGCCGAAGTACCACCCTTTGAGGAAAATAACATGACATGTGCAATTGCGAACGGATCCCGGAAGACT